ATCCCGAGGAGAAGAGCAGCCAACGCCGCAGCTAGGGTGGTCACAGTCTGCGATTCGACTTACACAGCGTAATGTAAGTACAGTTTAAAGAAATGTTGTGTAATGGAGGTCGTCGTGGTCGACACAGTTCCCACGATTCGACACAGGTGTTGGCCACGACGAAGTCGTGCCGCCATTAACGCTTGCCTTGCAAGCACTCGCGTTATTAACAGCGTGCACACGGTGGCTGCCACGGTCGCCACAAAGCCCGCAATCTAGCAGCTGTGCTCAGCCACGGCAGAGATAAGGCCGTACGGCTGTTGATGCGACGCTTTGTTCGACGCCATTAGAACGTAGGAAAGCGAGGCTTTCGCGGCCGCCATTGTTAGCCGCGATGAAGCGCTCGCGGTGTCCTCATCGGCCGCGGCCGCCATGTGGGCCTCGTGTCGCGCGCGTCCGCCTCGCGCGGCGGAGCTGTTGCACTTCGCTGGCGCGGGGGGTCGACGCCGAGGGACAGGCTTCGAAGCTTGTGTAGCTTGCGTGCGCGTTGGCACGCACGTGGTCTACGCACGTCCCTTTTGGCATCCTCGCCCTTTCGTGGTACCTCTCTCACACTCTTTCTCTTTCACTCTCCTTTTATCTGTTTTGTCTGCCGTCGATGCGCCGCGCGTCGACAGCTGTGTCGCGTCTGGCGATGACATGGCCCCGCCGCTCATGGCCTGGAGGCAAGACATGCTTCGTGCAAACGTTAAGCTAGTGATCGCTTTTTCAGGTCGAACGACGACTGGACGAGCCTGCTCGGCTTCTAGAGTGCCCTTGCCGGCGTCATCAGCCGGTTCGCACGGGACGTCGAGAAGATCGACCCCCCAAACAGGAGCCTAGGTCTCGTGGAAGTAAGGCTCGAGCTGCTCGACAGCTACTGGAAAACGTTCCAGGCCAATCACGTGAGTCTCCTGGAGTCACCGCTGCCCGAGAAGCTGGAGTTTCTTGACCAGATGTACTCGACGGCAGAGTCGGACTATATCGCCTCTCAATCACGCCTCTACAACGTAGGAAACACCCTTACGCCTCTCCCTGGCCCGGGCGGCGCCGACCTGGACCGTCATAACTCGAGACATGGAGCCCGCTTGCCTAAGATCAGCATCCCTTTCTTCTCGGGGAAGCGAGAGGATTGGAAAAGTTTCCGGGACCTCTTTCGCGCGCTCATCCACGATGATAAACAGCTTACCGACGTGGAGAGGCTGTTTTATTTGAAATCCCGCTCTCGACACCGTTCAGACCATTGGTGCCAATTGTCCAACGGCTTGGGCCTTACTCGAAGCGCGTTTCGAGCACCGCCGTCTTCTCATCCATGATCATATCACGGCGCTTTGTAACATCAAGTCTCTGAAGGAAGAGTCAGCTCGAGGGCTTTAGGGTCTCCTCGACACCCTGGGAAAACATCGTGATCAGCTGGAAGCTCTGGGTCGCCCTGTGTCTCAGTGGGACGACTGGATTGTCTCCTGCGCGATGACTGGCATAGATCCGACGACCCGGCGCGCGTGGGAGGACGAGATCGAGCAACTGGAGACCGCTGGCACGGACATCACGGCGGAAGTTGCCACTTTTGCTGCCTTGACGACTTTCCTTCGCCGACAGTGCCGCGCGCTCAGCTCCGTCGAGGCCTCTCGCCCTGCTCGTTCAGCCAACACGGCCAGCATGCGCTCTCCGGCCCTCCCGTTTCCTGGACGAAACTTTAGAGCCCTTGCCACCAGTGGCTCGCTGCTGCTATGCCCGTTGTGCAGAGAGTCACACTAACTGGGTCACTGCGCGCAATTTCAAGGCCTTGACGCGCAGTCCCGGCGACGCATGGTCTATCAAGGGCAGCTATGCTTTAACTGCCTGAGACCAGGCCACGCAGTAAAGTTCTGCCTTTCACGGTCCGTCTGCCAGCAGTGCAGGGAGCCCCACCACAGTCTGCTGCACGAGAGCAACCATCGGCGCAAGCCTGAATCGGATCAGCGTCCCTCTTCGCCCAAGAAGCCAAAAGTCGACAGCGCGGGCCCGTCCGCCACCGACTCACAGCATCAGGGGCCTCCATCGTCCTGACTCGCCGTACTTTTGACTGCTCTTGTCCAGCTAACCGGTCCCACCAGCCGACGAGTCGCTGGTCGAGCTCTCCTTGATGCGTGCTCTGAGGTTACACTCATCTCCATCCGGTTGGCCCAGGAGCTCGGCGCAGCGCTAGAAGTCAACGAGGCGAGCATTCATGGGGTTTGGCGAGGTTTGACCATCCCTTCGAGAACCCGAGCGCATCTACGCCTTAAAACTGGAGAGCATGCTCCGCCAATCCTCTGACTGCGCTCTGCCTGCCGCGGCTCGGGCTCACCTCTCCGTCTGCCCCCTTGCACCCAGCCGTGATGAGACAGTGGCTCGTTCTTGAGCCTCTGGCCGATCCAGCGTTTGGCACACCTCTCCGTGTAGACATTCTGCTCGGAGTCGACGTTTACCACCGCCTTATCGAACCAGGTTACTTTCAGCGTGACGAGCTCGTCGGACAGCGCACGGCTCTTGGCTGGACTCTCGTCGGCCGTGCCCCTGGCCTGGGCTCGAACGCCCTCATCGCAGGCCAAACTCTGCACACGAATACCCAGTCACCCTGGGATCAAGAGCTGGCTGCGCAGCTCCAGCGATTCTGGGAGATCGAGGAGGTGCCACATGTCAGCCGCCGAGCGCCAGAGGATGTTTAATGCGAGCGAATCTTCGCCGATTATCACCGCGCTGACGACGGGCGTTACATTGTGCGACTTCCGCTGAAGCATGACGCTGTGCGCCTCCTTGGTGACAGTCTGCAGGGCGCCACCGCTGGCTTGCGCTCGTTGCATCGTCGGCTGCAGCGGACTCCCGAGACGGCTTCTGAGTACGCCCGGTTAATGGCAGAGTACATTGCCCTCGGTCATATGAAACCCCTTACTGATGGCCAACTCGCTGCAACGCACCGTCCAATGCACTATATTCAACATCACGGCATTTGGCAGCACGGTGACCAAGGTCGCAAACTGCGCGTTGTTTTCAACGCGTCGAGCCCGACTTCCAGTGGCTATAGCCTAAACGACGTGCTCCATGCTGGTCCTCGGCTCCAGACAGCTCTCCCCAGTGAGCTCCTGCGTTGGCGTCGTCACCGGATTGCGTTCTGTACTGACGTTCGCATGATGTTCCACCAGATCCTGATTGATGAACGCGATGTCGACCTGCAGCGCATTCTGTGGAGCTCCAACCCAAAGCAGCCACCTACGTACTACCAACTTCTCACCGTTACCTACGGTGCCTCGTGCTCCCCGTACCTGTCACTACGGGTTGTACAGCAGCTGTGCGAGGATGACGGCCGCCGCTGGCCCGAGGCCGTCCCGGTGGTGATGAACGATCGCTACGCTGATGACGTCCTCTCCGGCGCTGATGACATCGGCTCGGCCAAGCGTCTGCGCGACCAGCTGATCGGACTTCTTCAAGCGGGCGGTTTTCCTCTGCGAAAGTGGGTTGACAGCACGCCCGAGCTTCTCGAAGACCTTCCCGAAGACGTCCGCCTCCGTCCTACTTGGGATCAGCTCAGTGTTGGAGGCCTCGTCAGCGAACTGGGCGTAGGCTGGGACCCGCCCTCGGATTTCTTCCGTTCGACGCCGCCCGTTGTCGAATCTCAAACCACGAAGAGATCCATGCTCGCCGCTCTCGCAGGCTTGTTCGATCCGTGCGGCTGGCTTGCCCCGATCGTGTTGAACGCCAAGCTTTTACTGCAAGACCTGTGGCGCGCGCGCTTGGACTGGGACGAGAACGTACCATTCTCCATGACTCGCCGCTGGACCGCCTTCACCGCCGAGCTGCAGGCCATTTCCGAGTTTTCTCTGCCTTGTTGGATTGGTATGTCTCCGTCGTCGAATGTCCAGCTGCACGTGTTTTCTGACGCCAGTCGCCGTGCTATGGCCGCTGTTGTATATTCGTGGCTGCGGTCTTCAGATGGGCCCGCTCTCTGCCACATACTTCTCGCTCGTACTAAGCTTGCGCCCATCCGCGCGCACAAGCCGATGACCGAGCCAGCCAGTCGCATGACCATCCCACGTCTAGAATTGCGAGGGGCCCTCATCGCCGCCAAGCTTCTTTGCTCAGCAGCCAGCGAGTTGGGAGTCGCGATCGAGCACTGCCACGCTCGGTGCGACTCTCAAATTGTGCTCCACTGGATACGCTCCGATCAGCCGGCCAACAACGTGCTCGTCGATAACTACGTCGCTCAGATTCAGGAGGTCCTGCCACCCAGTGCCTGGCGATACGTGCCGTCGCAATCGAATCCGGCCGGCTTAGCCACCAGAAGTGCCGACATGAGTGGCCTCCAACAGCAGCCCCTGTGGTGGAGAGGCCCCACGTGACTGGCCCAGGACGACAAGTCTTGGCCCCAGGAGACACTGCCTCCACCCACGCCCACGCTCTCACTCTGCTGCGCCTTCCGCGCGCCTGAATCGGACCTGCTGCAGCTCTTCTCAAGCTTGCACGCCGTACTGGGCCTCCTCGTGCGCGTTCGCCAATGGGTGCGACACCGTTTGCAGCGCATGCCCACCCGTTCTTTGCTTTCGCCGTTGACGCCGTCTGAGGTTCAGGACGCTTTCCTGGCCTGCGTTCGGTTGAGTCAATCGATGACGTTTGAGGATGAGTTTGCACTCCTGCGGAAGCGTGAACGTCTTTCGAAACGGAGCCCTTTGACCTCTCTTGCCGCCTTCCTCGATGCCGACGGTCTTCTGCGTGTTGGCGGGCGGCTCGATCACTCATCGCTGTCTTACGGAGAGAAGCACCCTCCCATCCTCAGCGGAACATCGCCACTCGCTCGACTCGTGGTCTCTTGGGCTCACGCACGTGCCCTCCACGGTAGATATCGCGTTACCAGCGCATACGTCTCCAGGCGTGCCTGGATTCTCGGTGGGCCACGCCAAATCAAGGCTTACATTCGAGGGTGCGTCATCTGTGCCCGGTTACAGGCGCGCTCTTCAAGCCAGTTGATGGCTCCGCTGCCCGCGTCTCGCGTCACGCCGTCTCGCGCTTTTGGTCGCACCGGAGTCGATTACGCCGGGCCCTTCTCCGTGCTTACATCGAAGGGACGGGGGATCCGGACCACAAAGGGCTACATCGCTGTCTTCGTGTGCATGACCACCAAAGCCGTGCATCTGGAGCTTGTCGGCGACCTTTCCGCGGCCAACTTCTTGGGTGCTCTCACCCGTTTCACCGGTCGTCGAGGCCGACCATCCGAGCTTTGGAGCGTCAACGCCACCTGCTTCCGTCGAGCTGATTTGGAGCTCCGCGAGGCGTTGCAGGGCGCAGAATTTAACTGGGACCTAGTCGCCGGGACTCTTGCCTCCCAGGGGGTTTTCTGGCAGTTCATTCCTCCTGGTGCGCCACATTTTGGAGGACTCTGGGAGGCCGCGGTCAAGTTGACCAAGAGCCATCCATGCCGTGTGCTCGGTTCTCGTCATCTAACGTATAAAGAGTTCTCTACGGTTCTCGTTGGAATTAAGGCCGTGTTGAATAGCCGCCCGTTGACACCCTTGTCTGGCGATCCCTCTGACCTCAAAGTGCTCACGCCTGGACATTTCCTCATCGGGGCTCCCGTCGATTCCATCGTCTAAGTTACCCTCGCTGCAGAGAATTTGGAGCCGCTCACGCACCAGGAGCTCGTCAAGGCCGTTTGCGCCCAATTCTGGACGCGCTGGGGCCGTGAGTATCTAAATACTCTCCAACAGAGGCCGAAATGGTGCGCTGTCTGTCGAAACTTCGCGGTGGCGGACCTGGTGGTTCCTCTTGACCCTACCCTGCTACAGTCCATCGGACGCTGGCCTCTGGGCCGTATTACCCGCACACACCCTGGATCCGATGGACTAGTCCGTGCTGCTGCCGTCAAGATGGCCACCGGCGAATACGTGCGGCCCATTGTCAAGCTTGCGCGTCCCCCTGTGGCACCTGCGGACTCTAGCCTTCCTGCGACAGACGATCAAGAGACTCCCCCGGCTTCGGCGGGCGGTGACTAGGGTTTCGCTCTTGGATCAAGGTGGGCGGGATGTTCGGGTTTTCTCACCGACCGAGCGGGGACCCGCGCCCTGCCATGCAACGTCGGTCGCTGCGCTCTCTCCCGGCTCCCCACCTCGTGCGTCACCGCTCTCGGCCGGTGGGGCTCACTCGTGTACGAGGGCTCAGTGAGGACAGTCGCACGCCATACCAGAGAACGAGACGAAGAAGACGACGACTACACGCCGAAGCGACTATCCCTTGTGCCTTTTCCTTGTGTAAAGTGTTGTCCAGCATTTGTAAGCCCATACGAACCAATAAAGCAGTAAAAACAAACATATTTACTTCATACAGCAGTCATATCCACTTAGAGAACTTAATCAAATTCTGCCATTGTGACAACAAATATATTTCTTACGTTTTTCTTTCTAGAACATTGAGGAACAGTACTTACGTTCGTAACATATTTCACCATAACAAAAAGGTATTATTAAGGTTTTATTATTGTTTGTTGCACTGACACAACTACAATTCTTATTACTATATTTTTTTATAATTTTTCTAACTTTTTTAATTTTTTTCTTTTATTTTTTTTTGGTAAATCAAATGTACAATTTCTAAATTTTTTTTTTTTAATTTGGATTTTGAAAAATCATTAAAGTGAATAAACCAGAATAAATGTCACGAGAAAATAATATCTTTAATTTCGAATGATTTAAATAATTACCAAAAAATTTAACTTATTTAAGTCTTCTATTGTAATTTTAATGTACACATACAACATTGTTACAAAACATAGAATATTAATGACAGTGGCAAAAATTCTACTGTGTAACATGAGATCGAAATAATTGTTACTAAGTATTACATTTTTAAAGTAATTATTTTTAGAAATGTAGTTTTTATAATATTGCCACTTATTGACAATGTGTTTTACTGATATTAATCTAACTCTTATGTGATAATAGTAATAGTCAAACAAAAATATCGGAAAAATTTGTATAATTTATTTCCAACATGTACAAGCACTTTAACAATTACTTATTATACTTTTTAAGTTATTGTTCGTATTGGAATTTTTATATGCTAATATGTCATGTTGACCTGAATCAGAGTTTTTTGTGAAAAGTGAAGTAAATTTTACATTTTTTTGAAAATTTTTATATGGATTGTTTTCTTTTTTTTATTATTATTTAAAACTACTTTTACTTCAATTTCGTAAATTTCAACAAAACTTTTTATTTGAATATTGCGTATTGTTTAAGCTTTAAATTGCAAACGAAAAAAATGAAGTACTTAACTGATATTCAAAAATTGGGGGATTGGCGTGCACAGTGCACAGGGTAGCGAAGCCCTACTAGTATGCATATACATATATACACCTACGATATATAGTTGATTGAGGGGTCATACCTAAATTACGTAAGGCTTTTTTTCTAAAATTTCGACCCCCCCCCTCCGTCATGTAATAATCTGTAAGATTTCAGAACCCCCCCCCTCTCCCCTCGATAATCATACGTAAGATAAAAAATTCACCGTGATACATTAAATACTCAAGTTCAAATATTTTATTTATGGGACTCAATTCTCAACTTTTGAAAAACACTAATAAATAATAAATGTATTAATATTCAACTCTTAAAGTATACGGAAAATTAATTTATTGTTCATATAACAACTTATTCATTAGTAATAATAATCTTTTTCATCACAAAGACAGAGTGATGCTGTATAAAGCTCTTGAAGAATAGATACTCTACCGAATAGTTTTTGACTAGTTTAATCATGAAAGTCATTGTTTCTCTTCAGTCCTCCATGGATTTTTGAAATATTCAGCTTCTGCGATTGGTGTGGAATCATCAGTTGTTTTTTTATTTCTACGATTAATACAGCCACCTACATCCTTAGAGTTAACGTCACTTTCCAAAATCTATTCTATATTTTCAGCTCTTGTTTTTTCTTCTTGGATTACACGTAGAACTTCATCTTTTCTTTTGGCTTCAATTCGAACAACTTTCAATTTTTTAGATTTTTTCCGATTTACCGAATGTCCTAAATTTTTAGTATGCCACACAACAGCTTTTTTAGAAGCAAAATAAATTCCACAAGTTCCACAGACTCTATCTGGAAGTTTAGATTTGACTGTCGGACAATACAGATCATAGGGAATAATTTCGAACTCATCACAACAAGAAGGTTTTATGCTATCTAATACTAATCTTTGAAATAATGGCATAAACTTATCACTATCTTTCTTTTCACTCGGATTTAAAGCAGTCAAAGAACCCGATTTTTCATTTTCTGTAAAGGCGAAGGGAGGTGGAAGAAACCAAAAAAGTAAAATAGTACGTAAATTACTTCTCAATTGACCACAACACTTATTATTGAGGCATTTTCTTATCTGGAAAATTATTGTCATAGAGTTAATAATGTATAACTTGAAATACAAATTTTCCGAAATAAATAAGAACAATATCATACATTTAGTTAAGATGATAAGTATTTACCTGCAAGAGATACTGTGATTCACGTACATGATTTATGTACCAATCACTATCAATTCCCGAGTCTATAGATAGATTTTCACTGGGATGTACGAATTCGGCAACCACAGGAAATCTATCAATAATCATACGGCTCCATATTTCTGCCAACGTATCACCAGCTTTAGAAAAATTTTGCCGCTCCAACTCTTCATCAATAGTTTTCCCACTATTATTAAGGTGATTTCCATACGAATCGTGGGGCAAAATAACGCCTGAAAGTTCGCTACTCAAGGGAGCCATTCTTCTTTCAACCCGATTGAAAGCACTGCGTCCCGGTGCACTGGTTACTACAAATATAGCATCTAAATTGCACTCTTTGGAATGCTGTATTGCACAAAAAATCACTTTTGGGTATCTGGAAAATTGTATTTTGCTTTTAATCTTAATTTAAATTAAGTGGTATTGTTTTTGGCTTTAGTTNCTGCCCTTCACGGTCCGTCTGCCAGCAGTGCAGGGAGCCCCACCACAGTCTGCTGCACGAGAGCAACCATCGGCGCAAGCCTGAATCGGATCAGCGTCCCTCTTCGCCCAAGAAGCCAAAAGTTGACCCCGCGGGCCCGTCCGCCACCGACTCACAGCATCAGGGGCCTCCGTCGTCCTGACTCGCCGTACTTCCGACCGCTCTTGTCCAGCTAACCAGTCCCACCGGCCGACGAGTCGCTGGTCGAGCTCTCCTTGATGCGTGCTCTGAGGTTACACTCATCTCCATCCGGTTGGCCCAGCAGCTCGGCGCAGCGCTAGAACTCAACGGGGCGAGCATTCATGGGGTTGGGGGAGGGTTGACCATCCCTTCGAGAACCCGAGCGCATCTACGCCTTGAAACTGGAGAGCATGCATCGCCAATCGACCTGACAGCGCTCTGCCTGCCGCGACTCGGGCTCACCTCTCCGTCTGCCCCCTTGCACCCAAGCCGTGATGAGACAGTGGCTCGATCTTGAGCCTTTGGCCGATACAGCGTTTGGCACACCTCGCCGTGTAGACATTCTGCTCGGAGTCGACGTTTACCACCGCCTCATCGAATCAGGTTACGTTCAGCGTGACGAGCTCGTCGGACAGCGCACGGCTCTTGGCTGGACTCTCGTCGGCCGTGCCCCTGGCCTGGGCTCGAATGCCCTCATCGCAGGCCCAACTCTGCACACGAATACCCAGTTGCCCTGGGATCAAGAGCTGGCTGCGCAGCTCCAGCGATTCTGGGAGATCGAGAAGGTGCCACATGTCAGCCACCGAGCGCCTGAGGATGTGGAATGTGAGTGAATCTTCGCCGATTATCATCGCGCTGACGACGGGCGTTACATTGTGCAACTTCCGCTGAAGCATGACGCTGTGCGCCTCCTTGGTGATAGTCTGCAGGGCGCCATCGCTGGCTTGCGATCGTTGCATCGTCGGCTGCAGCGGACTCCCGAGACTGCTTCTGAGCACGCCCAGTTCATGGCAGAGTACATTGCCATCGGTCATATGAAGCCCCTTACTGATGACCAACTCGCTGCATCGCACCGTCCAGTGCACTATATCCAACATCACGGCATTTGGCAGCACGGTGACCAAGGTCGCAAACTGCGTGTTGTTTTCAATGCGTCGAGCCCGACTTCCAGTGGCTATAGCCTAAACGACGTGCTCCATGCTGGTCCTCGGCTCCAGATGGTTCTCCCCAGTGTGCTCCTGCGTTGGCGTCGTCACCGGATTGCGTTCTGTACTGACGTTCGCATGATGTTCCGCCAGATCCTGATTGATGAACGCGATGTCGACCTGCAGCGCATTCTGTGGAGCTCCAACCCAAAGCAGCCACCTACGCACTACCAACTTCTCACCGTTACCTACGGTGCCTCGTGCTCCCCGTACCTGTCACTACGGGTTGTACAGCAGCTGTGCGAGGATGACGGCCGCCGCTGGCCCGAGGCCGTCCCGGTGGTGATGAACGATCGCTACGCTGATGACGTCCTCTCCGGCGCTGATGACATCGGCTCGGCCAAGCGTCTGCGCGACCAGCTGATCGGACTTCTTCAAGCGGGCGGTTTTCCTCTGCGAAAGTGGGTTGACAGCACGCCCGAGCTTCTCGAAGACCTTCCCGAAGACGTCCG